TGCTTCGTGCAGTACAAGGCCAGGGACCTCTCGACAATTGCCCTGGAGCCACGGTCTCGTCCCGAGGAGGGGGGGGCTCGGGAACTTGGTGCGGGAAAGACATCGGGCTCCCTTCCCCAGAACCCCGAGGCGCGCTGGCGCACTGGATACATATTGTTATCCATATGCAGTGCGTCTCCACCTTGTGACACCCCTTCCAAGAAATGCCGAGACGCACTAGATATGGATACGGTCCCGCTACGCGACACACAACACGGAGCTTGTTGACACGGAGCTCAGCACGTAGACTGAAAAGGTAGGCCTGATGCGAGACGCGGGCCAAAACGCGGGCCAAACCACGCTGAGCCGACACGCAACGTGCTATAGCACAGACGCTTTGAACACGGTATATACTGCGTTTCAATACAGGAGTATCGAGGCGGCTAAGTTCGGTGGCAACTCATGGAAGCCTCCCATACCATCTTACCGGCTCTTGCGAATCGACGCTAATCGACGCTAAATCGGCACTACTCGACGCTAAATCGACGCGAATCGACGCTAAATCTGCGTTATCTCATCGACTCCCAGACGCTCATCGACGTTAAGATCGGAAGTAAAAGGGTATACCAGGCTCCCATGATGTGCCACCGAAGCGAAGCATATGAGATATGAATCCTGCCCGCACTTGGGGCCCAAGATCGCCTGCGAGGGGCTGGCCATGCGCGCGTGCGCGCTCGCGCAAAGTCGGGGGCGCGCAACCATGGATTAGCGATCCACGGAATTGGCGCGCGGTCTCCAAGTCCATGGATCGGGGGAGGTGCCCTCCCCAAAAAGCGGCCGGTGCCCTCCCCAAATGATTTCTCATGAAACGGGACCCGTCGCTAGTCCACGCCCCCTTGATCCATGTTGGCGATCGCCTGAGCAGAGGCGGGCGGGCCGCTCCTGCGCGCCTGCACCTGGAGCGCGGCCCCCTCGTGGCAGCACACGGTGCGGATGCCTGCCAGCCCCGGCCGCGGCGGGGGGGGGGGCCGTCGAGGGCCACGCGGGGGCCTCGCACAGCAGCGGCCCTCGACGTCGTCGACGTCGTCGTCGTCGTCGTCGTCGTCGTCGTCGTCGTCATCGTCGTCGTCGTCGTCGTCGTCGTCGTCGTCGTCGTCGTCATCGTAGTCGAGGATCGCGTTGTGGTGTGCTTTCTGGTGCTTCTGGTGCCTGCTGGTGGCGGCCGCCTCGCCGCGGGCAAGTCCGCCTGCGAGGTCTGGCCAGAACGCACCCCGGGATAAGATCCAGGGGTCCTCCTGTTCCTCCTCCTCCTCCTCCTCCTCCTCTACTTCTTCTCCTCCTCCTTCCCCGCCTCCTCCTCCTCCTCCTCCTCCTCTTCCTCCTCCTCCTCCTCCTCCTCCTCCTCCTCCTCCTCCTCCTCCTCCTCCCCCTCCCTTCTCCTCCTCCCCTCCCTTCTCCTCCACCTGGATTTTCTTGAGGGGGTCCGCAAACTTTCAGCGCCTTGGACACGTCAAAGCCGAGATTATTTACCGTGTTTCGAGGCCTCCCAGACAGGTTCCGATCAAGTGGGGTCGGAGGGTCGCGCCGCATCGCCGATGCATCGGCGATACATCACCGATGCATCGGCGATAAATCGGCGACGTCGGCGATGCAACGACAACGTCCGCGTAGGGAAGGTCGGGTTCCGCATCGAGCCGCATCGCCGAGGCATCAGCGATGCGGCGCGATCCTCCTACCCCACCTTGGACAAGAGCGATGCCATGACAGGAGTTGCTCAGGAGGTGGTCAGAACATCCAGCGACCTTCGTTTGTGCAGCCCGTGCGGAACACTGGGGCATCTGGGATCTCCTGGAGATTTTTATTTCAGATCACCAGTCTGACCGCCCCCGGTTGTTTGTCCCTGGATATTTTGGAAGCGCTGGAGACCGTAGAAGTTTTGTAACGTACCATCATGACGTGCTGCTCCTCTGACCACCTGTTCGGACCCCCTGTGTGATAGGTATTGTGAGAACGGGTGGGTTTGAGAATGTGCCAGTCTGGTTGCGAGCGAGTCCAGGCGCAAGGAGTATGAATGGGAGATGTTGTTTCTGATTTCTCCGAGCGTGGGCGAGTGTGATGTTGTGCGTGAGGAACACAAGACAGATTACGGTTGAGCCTGGGTGCGATGTAGTCTCAGTCTGAGTAAGTAAGTCTGAGGGCTCGCGGGTCTGAGCGCGTGCGAGCCTGAATGTGAGTTCGTCTAGTTGCTAGTGGGTTGGGGTTCGAGCGAGTATGGCAATGAGCGAGCAAGCGCGCGCAAGTCTGAGTGTAATCGGATATGACTACGTGCGGGTCTGAATCTGAAGGGTGGGTATGACTGAGGACGAGACGTTGATGAGCAGGGCAAAGTGCAAACGATTGCGTCCGAGCGTGGAAAATGGGAACGAACTCTGTTGGTGAGTGAGTGATGGGACCACCAGTTCGCAGCAAACAACAGTCCGGGGGCAGAGAAAAACAAACCGCCAGAAACATCGTCCAATTGTGAACGAGTCTTGAAGTGCCCCCACCCTTGGCGGCTCTGCCTTGGGGTGCCCAACGACCACGCCTGCTTTATCGCGGTGCACATTGGGCCACCAAGAGAGAGCATCTTGGGGGGGGGGCAGAGGCCGGCAAACCGCCAAACAGATGCGTACACATCGGGCGCGAATGTTAGACAGTCCCCAGCTTTGGCGGCCCCCATTGGTCTGCCCAAGTGCCACGCCAGCTATATTGTGGTGAGAGTTGATCCACAGAACAGGGACATCCGCGTGACAGATGCAGGCGAACCGTTTGAGACATCCCATCATTCAGCGCACAGACCGTGGAGCGTCCCCACTCTTAGCGACCCCTCGTCAGAAATGTTGCAATCAGCGCCTCGCCTGAGACATCCTCAGAATGCGTTCCCATAACACAGGGCGTGGGGCACAACGCAGGCAAACCGCCTGAGACACTCCAACAATGTAGGCGCGAATCCTGGAGTATCCCAACCCCTGGCGGCGCCACCCCCTTTGGGTTTCCAAGTGTTACGCGTGTTTCATCTCGGTGGCCATCGGACCACGAGTGATGACGACTGGGTCGGAGTCCGAGTTTGCGAGGGGTACGATTGCGAGTTGGTTTGCGTGTGGTTGAGTCCGAGAGGGAGAAGGTGTAATTGTGAGTGGGTCTGAATGTGAGCGAGTTTGAGCGTGCTGAGGTTGAGTGTGAGTGGGCCTGAGTGTGAGTGAGTCTTACTGCGAATGAGTTTGAGAGTGACTGGGTAAGGGTATGGGTGGATCAGGGTATGACTGCGTCTGGGCGTGGGTGAGTCTGAATCTGACTGTGCAGGGAGGACTGTGCAGTGCGAGCGTGAGTGCGGGTCCGAGTATGAGGCAGCCTGTCGGAATCGGAATGGGCAAGAAGCATATTGCTGGGGGGGAGCTACGCCCATATTGTTTTGAGTCGTAAAGCAGCGGCACGGGAGGTTGTCCGCTGGGTTGCTTTTTGGGGGGCACCGTCAAGTAATACTCGGGGCGGAAAGCTGGCCTTGGGGAAAAGGGTCGGGGTTTCCAGGGATCCCGTTCTGATGCAACATAATCAACCCGCATAGCAAGGATTAGCAACTTTCCAAGGCGATCTTGCATCCTCCCCCCTCGGCCCATCCTTGGCTGCTTTCGCTGGCCGCGCCCCGCTCGCAAAGTGCCGACATGGACTTCCAAGGCACTTGCAGCCTTCCTGCGCATCCTTATTTCGTGGGGTGATTGCACAACGGATATCCGTGTATGGTGGAGGGGGGGCGGGGTGCGACCGGGAGGGAGGCGTGGAACGGAGACGTCCGACGCTTGTGAGGCAGGTTCGCTTCAGATTCAGGCAAACGTTCCTGTACGGAAGGAACTTCGAACTTTAAGCAAGGCGGGATTCAGTTGCACGCCTTTTCGGCACAGCCCCGTTTGAAATGGCGGCGGAGGGTTGGTGTGGGGTGGGCGAGGCGAAATTCCATGCAAATAGTTTGCCAGAGTCAAATTCTAATGCGCTCCTGCCAGCCAGATCTGGATTCGTCAGAACCTCTAAACTTGCCGTGCAAGTGAACTCGCCAGAGTCTACCTCGCCAGCAGACACCGATGTAATCCATGCAGGCTATCGGGATTTTCCCGGCCAAGGGGCTCGTTCGTCCTCCCGAGCCTTTTTCTGTGGACGGCCGTGGATCCAGAGGCGGCTCCCAGAGGCCAACATCACACGCCAGGCCGACTCGGGCCCAATCGTAGCCATATCCACTCACACCCCGAATCGCTCACGGTCAGATCTTCCACGCACAGATTCACTCGCACTAGGGATCACACACATAGACAGCGTGTCGCTTGGGCACCACAGATACAGACAGGCGCCGCGAGTAGGCACGCCAGAAATCGGGCGTAGAAGCGCCATGCGCGCGTGTCTGAGTTGCCGCGGGGAGAACGGCGAGAGGAACCCCCCACTCGCTCTTCAACTTGTGCTTCCCTCACCTCTCCTGAAAGATGTCCAGAGGAGGAGGGAGACGTCACTGAAGCCGTCGCTGTCGTCGCCGTTGCCGCGCTTCTCGTCTCCGCGGGCTCGCCCTCACACCCAGATGCTCATAGACAAAGCTCCTCAACCAAACGTGGCAGGAATAACCGCGTCGAGAAATGTTTTAATATGTGCGCCCTGTTTGCGCCTCGGCTGCGTTCGCCTCGAAGTTCTGGTCGGAGCGCACCCTGGGACAGGACAGGGGATCGCTTGGACACCTCGGACCCAAGCCCCCTCGCGTGGCGACAGGAATCGAGACGGGAAAGATGTTCTTGGTTGTCGTCCTCTCGGGGCTGGGCCCGAAGACTTTCAAAAGACGACTCGGTATGAAAGGCCAACCCCAATGGACCCACACCTCCAAGGTCCACGCTGCAAAAAACGCGACACTAAGCATCCTCTCCACACATCCCTCCCAAGTTCCCTCCGCCTCATGCGCCCCCTCATCCAAATACTCCTCCCACGTCTCCTCCTCCTCCTCCTCCTCCTCCTCCCTGCTCGTGTGTGCTTCCCGTCTCTGCCGTTCCCTGCTGAGCTCCTCCTCCTCATCCTCCTTCTCCTCCTCTTCATCCGCCTCCTCCCTCTGATTAGGCCTCCCTGTCCTCCGCGTCCTCCTGCCTTCTGTTCCACATCGATCTCACTATCGATCTCAGTATCGATCTCACTATCGATCTCACTCAACGGGACACAACAATAAAAAACGGGACATCACGGGACACCTCGGGACACCACATCGATCTCACTATCGATCTTGCTGTCGATCTCACGATCGATCTCACTCAACGGGACACCACGGGACACCACGGGACACCTGTCAATCTCACTATCGATCTCACTATCGATCTCACTTTTTCGGACACCACGGGACACCTCGGGACACTACATCGATCTCAATATCGATCTCAGTATCGATCTCATTCAACGGAACACCACGGGACACCTGTCGATCTCACTATCGGTCTCACTATCGATCTCACTATCGAGGTCACTATCGATCTCACTTTTGGGGACACCACGGGACACCTCGAGGCACCACATCGATCTCACTATCGATCTCAGTATCGATCTCACTATCGATCTCACTCAACGGGACACCACGGGACACCACGGGACACCTCGGGACACCGCGAGCCACCGCCAGGTAGACAGACGGACGGGCGGGCGGGGGAGGATCATTTGTCTTGACTTCGCCCCAACAGCGGTAGACACCACGGGACACCACGGGACACCGCGGGCCACCGCCGCACGGGCGGGAGGGGGAGAACCACTTGTCTTGACTTCGCCCTAGCCACGGCGGGTCCATTCCCCTCGCGCGCCCACGCAGCCTCGCCTCTCCCACACGCACGACACGCACGAAACGAAACGGCTGCCGGGTGGGGGGGTCCCTGTCCCGCTGCGACCTCACCCACCAACCTCCGACCTGGATTGGCTGCGCTCGGTTGCGGGCGCGGTCGGGGCAGAGATGGGGCGGGTCGAGCCACGGGAGGGCAGGAAGGAGCGAGTCTGGACCAGCGCGGTCCACTACGCGCAACGCAACTGCTCGCTCGTGGCCGATATCCGCCGCGGGATCTACGATCCCATCCATCGAGGGTTTTGTCCTTCTACCGACGCCTTGCGAGTCGCCCCTTCGCGAGCAGTGGAACGCGCTCGGTGAGGATCCCATCGCGCAGCTGGTCTCCCGGCGTCTCCCGGCGCTGGAGAGGCGCCCGTGCGTCGAGGACCGCGCGGGGGGGCGGGGGCGGGGCCAGCAGGACGCCCCAACTTTCGCAGCACTCCGTTGCCCAGTCCCCGCCCTGGGGTCGGCCAGGATTGGGGGGCAAGCAGCTCCGCTGCCAGGACCAGGGCTCGTGGGCCCTCGCAATCCAGAGCGTAGGACGGCCGGCATGTGCACCCTCGCCCCGGAAGGAGGGTGCAACGTGGCCCAGAGAACCTGTGACTGTTCCGCTCCCCTTCGTCCGTGGTTCTGCTTCCTTCCCGACCCCGCTCCTTCATTATCATCGCTGCACCTCCGCCACACACCCCATTCTCATGACACGTGCCATTATGCATAACACCGTGGTCACGGCATTCCGTATCGTCAAATTCCTGGGGTCCGTTGCGGGCCCCGGAAGTGGCCTGGTCGTCCTCGATGCCATCTGACTCCTACTCCTCCTCACTCCTCCTCCGCCGATTCCTGCTCCTCATCCATATTATGGCATGGCCTATATCTGATGAGTATACAAGCATGGCCGTCGGCTCCGAGCCCGAAAAGTCACGATCTTGACCGCGTCACATGGCGTCGAGAAGAAAGGAGAGAGAGGAGGATAAGAAAGAGGACGGGACTGGCGATATGATGGCGAGAGAGAATGAGGCGTAAGACAAAAAGGATGAGCGGCAGCAGCCAGAGGAGAAGGTAGATGCATGAGGAGTGAGGAGGAGCAGGAGGAGGAGGAGGGGATAACGAAAAGGAAAGAGAAAGAGGAGAGAGTAAACATAACAACGCTGCGAGGACGCATGTGATGGTTGGATGAGGAGGATGAGAAGAGAAGGAGGGCGAGGGTAGGATAAGAAAAGGATGACTAGGAGGAAAGACATTATTATACTTTGATGAGACAGACTTGGATGCGGCACAAGAGCAGGCTCGGCGTCTGGTTTGTTACGAGCTCCTGCCCCGCTTTCCAGGGGCGGAGCCCATAAACCAGGCACACGACCAGGCGTACCTCCAGAAGGCGCATCAAACATATCCCGAGCAGAGACATCCAGCCTCACTGGCACTCCAGGGAAGGGATCCAGACATCCGGCGCTTCGAAAAAAATGGAGGCGGCCAGTCTGACCCCCTGTCGGCAAGCTTGAACACACGTTTGGCCTCTGGGGCCCGATTTCGGTGATCGGGGCTGTCCAACAGAACAACAGCTCGGGACGACAAGCTGGCCTTGGGTCGGGCATGGTCTCCTACAGGCGGATTTTGGAAGAAACGTGAAAGACAGTCAAAAAATATCAAAAGATAATAGAATGACGTTCCCCGATGATTCGTTGACAGGGTTGGATCTTCCTCCTGTGGAGGGACCTGCCCGACTTCAAGCAGGCCCCGGGGGACCGGGTCGAGCGGTCAAGCCTGGAGGCCCGCGCATCGGTCAAGACGAAGCGCCGGGTGCCTGAGGAGGGTGATGATGATGAGGAAGAGGAGGAGGAGAAGAGGAGGAGGAGGATGGGTAGGAGGGGGAGGAGGAGAGGGAGGAGGAGGATGGGGAGGAGGGGGAGGAGGAGGGGAGGAGGAGGAGGAGGAGGAGGAGGAGGAGGAGGAGGAGGAGGAGGAGGAGGAGGAGGAGGAGGGGGAGGAGGAGGAGGAGGAGGAGGAGCTGGAGGAGCGAGCGCCCCGGTGCCGCGGGCGCCCTGGCGCGAAGCCCGGAGGCCCTGGGCGTGAGGCGGCCCGCGGCCCCGCTCTCGCGCGGGGACGCGCCGCGCTCCTCGGAGGGAAGCTGCCCGAGCGGAAGAGAGCGCGGCCAGTGCATGCCGTCCTGCCTGCCCCGAGTTGCTCCTTCGGGGGAAACTCGGAGCCCCTCCCCAACGAAAAGTGCTCCTTCTTCGAGACCCCTACTGTACTCGTTCGGGGGGAGGGCCTTGCACGAAGGGGCTCCGAAGCCCAGAGGCCTCTGAGCACGCGAAGGGCGAGCCCCGTTGCCCCCGAAGGCCAGGCTGCGTGGTGCCGGCTTCGGCAGTGCCGCGCAGTGCCGGCTTCGGCATCGGTTTTTCTGACGCAGCGGGGACCCTTCAACCTTGAACGATGGGCCGTCTCCGAAACGTCAGATCGCTCAAGATCGAACATTGAATGCCGGCGGCGGGGCCACCGCTGGTCGACACGACGCGAACCTGCCGTAAGAATTCTGCTGGGGCCCGAACGGCAGGACCCGGGGAGCTCGAGCCCCCTCAGGGGCAGAACACGCTCAGGGCCCGGTAAACGTTCTTTGGGTAACCAAGACGTCGGCGCACCTGATGAAAACCACATCCGTGGGTCGAAAGATTCTCCATTCGTGTTTTTGCTCCCGCTGGATTATCGTCCAAAAACCTGGTTCACAATGTCCTGGTTCCCAATACATTCAAGGGCTCCCGCGTCCAACGCGCTGGCTGTGCGCCGCGATGCAATGGAGGCCAATGCACACTGGATGGTGACTCCCATGCGTTCAATGTCTGGGTTCTTCTTTGGACGCCCAAATTTCGCGCGAACCAAATGGGCGCGATGCCCAAGAAGATCTGCTGTCCAAAACCACCAGCGGCCGCTGTTCAGCAGGAGGCCAAACTGACTACGCCCGCGGCGACACCGAGAACGAGTCCTGCTCAGAAGGGGCCACTACTGCTGTCCGATTTTTGGGGAAGCCAAAAGGTACCCATACCGCCACTCCCTGGACCTCTCCAGGGGTGCAACCTGACCAGAACTCCGAGGCGAATCCAGCGCTGGCGGCGAGAACCTCCCAGGATGCCCAAAAAGAGGAAAACGGCCGAAGGGTAGCGGTGTGGTTATCTTTTCCTCCTCTGCGTCTTCGCCCCCACTGTTTCCGTACCACTTGCGATCGTACTATCAGGTCGGGCATGCGTTCCTACAGGCGGATATTGGAAGAAAGAAAAAACAATAGACAAAAACAGTACAAACAATCGTCCCCCGACAAGTGAAACAAATGTCCGGATATTCCTCCTGTAGATTTGGACGCCCGAAATGGGCACCGAAAAGATGGGTACAATGCCCAGCAGCAAATGTTGTCCCAAACCGACAGCGGCCGCTGTTGGGCGGGCGACCTCTTGTCTCGAATAGACACAGGCCGCGGCGGCGTGGACAGCGAGTCCTTTTCAGAATGAACAAGAGCTGCTGTTGGGCATCGTACCCATTCTTTCAGTACCCATTTCGGGCGTGCAGAGTAGAGGGGCAGGCCCTACTTCATCGTACCACGACGCGACGCCCCGGCACACACACCCTGGGAAGGCCAGCCAGCGAGCGCCGCACGCCTGGGTCATCGACATGTGCCGATACCACTCCCTGGACCTCTCCAGGGGTGCCACCTGACCAGAATCTCGAGGCGAGCCCAGCGATGGCGACGATGGGCCTCCCAGGAGGCCCAGAAAGGGGAACACGAGGGAAAGCTAGCGGTATGGGTGCCTCTTCCTCCTCCGGGGGCCCCCTCTCTCCGCGCCTGCCCCCCCCGTGGATGGGCGCACCGCTGGCTCGGCCCAGCTTGCGCGCGAACGCGTCCAACTCCATCGACCGCTCCTGGTCGGGCCCGAGGAGGGGAGACGAGGAGGCGGGCGCCCTGGCATCCCCCGCGCCGTGGATTGGCGGCGCGCACAAGGGGGTAGGGGGAGGGGGGAAGGCTCCTTAGAAGGAGACCGCTTCTCAGAGGGCGCCGGCCTCACATCTACAGAGAAAGCCGGTGCCTTCTACAAGAAACAGGGGTGCTTCTTACATGGCGCCGGGCTTCCGTCTGCAAAGAAACGGCCTCCTTCTAAGAAGCCCTCCCCCCTTCCCTTCTCTGCGCGTGGCTGACATCCTCCGCGCCCTGGAGTCAGAACTCGACCTCTCAGAAGTTGCGCCCGAAGGGGGAGGATGGGGCGCCGGTGAAGCGCACTCGTCGCGCTGGGGGGGGGTCGGAAGGGGCGACGAAGGGAAGGGTCGGGTGGGGCGTCAGAGGAGCAGGGTCGCGTGCGTCAGGCCGGCCGCCAGATGGTCCAGCGCCTGGAGTTGCGCCTCCATCTCGCGAGTGTTGTGGCTGCTGCTGCTGCTGGGCCATATTGGCACATCGGCGCTCGTCGTGGAGGTGATGGAAACAGGGCGCCGATGGCGCTGGTGCCGGCGAAGGCGCTGAGGCGTGCGCTGGCGGCGACGCTGGCGATGGCGAGGACGTGTTGGATCCGGCGGTCCTCAAGGCCCCACAGGGTGGATGTCATCCACTTGGGGGGCGTGGGGTGAGGGGTGGGACAAGCCGTCGTCGGAGGGCGGAGCCTGGGGCAGGGTGCTCGCGGGGGGGGGGGGGCGTCGTGGTGTGGAGGCGCGTCGTCGTGGGGCGTGGCGTCGTGGGGGTTGGCCTCGGGTCGTCCTTCGGAGCAAGCTCGGGGCGGGCTGGAGGGGCGCCCTCGTGGGCCGGCCAGCCGTCCGTGTGGGCAACGCTGCCCACGTAGCCGAGGTAGGTCCAACAGGCAGTCGGGCGGTTCGGGTGGGGGGTCTTCGCGGGAGCCGACGGGGCGAGGGGTCGTAGGGGAGGGAGCGTCGTCGCTCTCGTGGCCGTCCAGGTGCCGCCGGGTGGGGCCGTCGTAGGGTCCGTCGTGGGGTGTCGCGGGGGCGTTCGGGTCGGGGGGTGTCGCGGCGCAGCCACGGGACTCAGATGTGAGGCTCCTGAGGGTGGCTTCGGCTGTCCCTGTGGCCGCCTCCCCGGGCATGCGCCCCACGGGCTCCCTCTCAGGGCATGTGGCCACTCGGGCTGTCAAGCTGGCCGCGGGGCCGTCGTGGGGTGGCGTCTTGGTGGTGGGTCGTGGAGCCGTTCGGGTCCGGGAGGTGGTCGTGGAGCAGTCGGGGGGCAAGTGTGAAGTTCCAGGGGGGGGGGCGGCTTCGGTTGTCCTTATGGCGGTATCTCCGGGTATGCTCCAACAAGCTCATTTTCAGGGCATGCGGCCACTCGGGATGTCGAGCCAGCTGCGGGGAAGGCAGCGCGGGCCGCGGGCCGTCCAGCAGCCCCGAGTGCATGCGACCAACCTGGGCTCGGCTGGGGAGTCGTGGGGTCCGTCGTGGTTGCCGTGGGGTAGGGAGTCGTGAAGGGAAGCGTACATGGGGGGTCGTGGGGGGCGTGGCCAACTAGGCCAGGATCGTGGCCAAGTCCCTGGCCGTCCTTTTTGCCTTTGCGCGTGGCGCAGGCGGGCCTCCGGTTTGCTTTGGCGCTCTTGCGAACCGCAGCTGGACGCCTAGGGCCATCCGGGCTCGTAGTCTCGCAGGTCGTACGGTATCTCGCGCAGGCTGCGGCGCGGGTGCCGCGGCCACTTCCTCGCGCGGGTAAGGCGTGTCCGGGCGCATCGCCCGCAACGGGACCCCCAGCCTCTGCGTCGAGGGCCTCGAGCCAAAATGGCTACGAAAACCCCCACTCTACCCCCCTTCCCATCTCGATCATCTCGGGGGTTGCTGAAGGTGCCTCTGGCCCAGGGTGCCCCCAGCTTTTCGGTCAAGTTTAGAGCCCCCGGGACCTCGTTAGGGGTGCTCTGGAGGCCGTGTGTGCCTCCATGGCAGCCCTAGGGTCACCTTGGGACAGGGGCACTTCGAGCAACACCCGACCATCCCCCTCTCCTTCTCCTTATCATTCCTCATCATCCCTCTCTCCTCCACCCTCCCTTCTCCCTCCGCCCTCCTCCATCCTCCATCCGTTCATCCCGTTACTTGGTGAACAGACATTATCATTATCATTATCCAGTCTATCCTCCCTCGTCCCTCCGCTCTCCCTCTCACCCACCCCGTTCTCTCTCTCTCTCTCTCTCTCTTTCCCCCCCTCTCTCTCTCACTAGCTGCTGTTCCTCCACCACAAGAAGGGATACGGTGGCATCACCATCGCGGCTGGGCACGTCTCGCTCGCGGTCTCCGTGACTGTCGGGAAAGAGAGGGTAACTTCTTCTTTCACCAACTGCGTCGAATCGCTCGTCCTCGTTCTCGCTCTCTTGCTACAGTGGAGGCCCGACCACAAGAACTCTTCCACAAGAAACCCAACCCTGAGACCCCAGGACGTCCATTGATCGCTGGTGTGGCAACGTCACGCCTTCCACAGCAACACCACCGAAACCCGAGAAACCCGGGGCACCCGAGAGGCCGGCAGGGGAACTACTTCTTGGCATGCACCTCCGCTGTGCCCTCCCCCCGGAGAGCCTGCGTCGGCGCCGCCACGAGCAGGACGGGGCACCGGCTCGTCATGTGGTGCTCCACGATGTGCGCGAACGCCTGCACCGAGTCGGCCGCGGAGGCAGACACACCGCGCGTTCTGGCCCAGAGGGTTCGGTGGCAGCTCACGGGAGCCTCCCGTACCATATTGTCGGCTCTTGTGGATCGACGCTAATCGACGCCAGCCGACGCTCATCGACGCCCAATCGACGCTCATCGACGCTAAATCGGCGCCATCCCGTCGACTCCTACACGCTAAACAACGCCGGTCGACGCCAAAGTCAGGACTGAGAGGGTACACAAGGCTCCCATGATTAGCTACCGAAAGAAGGTGCGCAGAATACTCGCAAGGGGAGCTCGCCTCCCCTGGCCGCCCGCCCGACTCGCCCTCCGCCTCACCAACTTTGGGGCGACTCCCGGTAGACTTGGTGTACAGATTCGGTCTCATTCGGAATCGAAGCTTGGGTATCGGATCGGATCGAAATCGGAATCGAAACTTGGAGATCGGATCGAACCAGACCGTGAACAGACCTGGCCGACAGATCCGCAGTTGGATCAGGTCTGCTCAACCTCTGAGCACTGACGCAGGAGTTCGGGAACCGACAGCACTCCAAGCCCTCGCTCTCTGCTCCTCCGCCTTGCTCGTCCTTGCGGCTTGCTGCTGCTCGCAGCTCCAATCCCACTGCTCCTCCTGCTCCTCCTCCACTTCCTCGTGGTGGTGCCTGCCTCGTCCAGCACGTGGGGCCTGAAATGCATGGCCCAGAGGATGGGCCACTCTCGTCGCCGCCCCGTCGCCGTGGACGGTCATTGGATGCCCTCTCTCCAATGGTCTCCCTCTCCCCGCCCCCCACACTGCTCCCGCTCCCTCATCCCCTTGCACTCCCGCCCCCGCTGCCCTACCTCCGTGGTCCTCATCCCCCCCGCCCACCTCCTCCTGGCACCTGTGCCACTGGATCCCCTTCCCAGGAAGACAAGCAGGTGGCCTCCCGGTCGTCACCCCGAGCTTGACAATGGGGGAGAAGAAATATACGGCGGGCGGACAAAAAGTGTCCATGCGAGCCACATGTGTACACTGCAATTGTCGAGGCCATCATTAAAGGCCTCCTCGATGGGGTCCGAGTAGATGGGGTCGGAGGATCGCACCGCATCGCCACTGCATCGCCGATGCATCGCCGATGCATCGGCGATGTATCGGCAACGTCGGAGGCGCATCGGCGACGTCGGCGTGGAGGAAATCGGGCTCCGCATCGAACCGCATCGTGGATGCATCGGCAATACAACGCGATCCTCCGACCCCATCTACTCCGACCCCATCTAGGAGGCCTAGAATCATGCCCGACTACCTTCAGGCCGTCGGCGTGGACACCTTTCTGTCCGGGCACCGCAACCCGGGGCTTTCCAGGCCCGCGCCGCGGTGGGCAGGGCGGGGCGCTGGGGCCTGCGGGCCGAAGCCGCCGGGCCGTGCGGTGCGCGGCCGGCCGGGGGGCAGTCCGGGACCCCTCGGGGGCCTCGTCGCTCCTCCAGGGGCCGCGCTGACGGCGATGCGGGCCAACGGCGAGGTTGGGAATCCGACGTGTGTGACGCCGAGCTCGCGCAGAACAACTTGTAGGAAGTCACGAATCACACCTTCCTACATTTCAAATGCGCGCATGTATCGAGCGAAAGCGACGCAGCGGATTGTAGGATAACACGAGCGAAGGAATCCTACAACTGGTGTGGCCACGAACCACGACTTCCTGCAATTGGATCTCCTACTTCGCCCTCAGCTAACACACTGTTAGCGCGTCAACGGTTCCTATCGTGACGGAGATCACATTATCCAATGTTCGCGGGTGGTGGGTGCGGCGAGTAGCACGGTACAGTCCTGTCCGGTGTACACCAGTGTCCCCTTCTCGGGTCACTTCTACAAACTGGTCGTCGGAGGCTCATGGGTGTGTGCCCCCTGTTCCCTCCTGGGCACGGGGACTGGCGGGAGTGATTCTAGGCACTGTATCTACACGGACCTATTCCTCGTGAGTGTTCCAGGGCCCCGACCCCATTGATGCGCAGGCTTGGGTCGGCACCTGTGCGGGTCACGTCATCTGACCGGAGGCTGCGCGGAGGGAAATGATCGCGGACTTCGGGCCTGCTAAAATAGGGTGATCGATCAGCCGATCAGTTGTTCTGGCTGCAAGGGGTACATACTTGGTCTTGCTGTCGTCGCGCCTGGCCAGTATTCCTGGTAATCACCCATCCTCGTCCTTTCCCTCTTCCCATGCCCCTTCACATTCCCTCCCTCCCTCCCACTCTTCACTCCTGTCCTCATCCTTTTTTCCCTCCTCCCAGACCTCCTCATCCTCCTCCTCCTCCTCCACCTCCAGCTCCTCCTCCTCCTCCTCCTCCTCCTTTTCCCTCCTCCCATCCTTTTTTCCCTCCTCCTCCTCCTCCTCCTCCTCCTCCTCCTCCTCCTCCTCCTCCTCCAGCCGAGGTGAGCTCGAAGTGCTGCCCATGATCTCCACCAGGCCCTCCCTCCCCCCCCACCGCCCGAGCAAAACGGGCCACGCATGAGTCACGAGACTCGTCATACATCCCCACTCCTAACCCTCCTCGCCGCCCTTGTCGTCCCCTCCCGCTTCGGAGAACCCAACATGTTTACCGATACCGTTCCTCCTCGGACCTCTTCGAGGGTGAGTTCTGACCACAATTTCGGAGCGAATCCCGCCGTGGCGACGAGGGCCGCCCGGGGAGCCCGACAGGGCGGGAGCAAAGAAAGAGCATCGGCATCGGCACCTTCTCCTGCTCTGACCCCTGTCACCCCGGGACCGCTTTGACGGCCCCGGGGCACGAAAACTGCCCCCCCCCCCCAGGGACCAATCAATCTCTCTCTCTCTCTCTCTCTCGCTCTCTCTCTCTCTCTCTCTCTCTCTCTCTCTCTCTCTCTCTATATATATATATATCGATGTATGTGTGTACTCAGCGCACTTTTGGAGGAGAGGAGGGGGAGCGGAGACAGCGGCAGGATGACAGGCCCTGCGACGCAGCTGTGAAATCACTGGGCTACTGAGCTGCCTCATATGCCGTGTGCGCGGGGAGACTGCCTGAACGACTGGAACGACGATACACATTCGGCGGTGGACAAACCTCCCTTTGGTAAACCATCCTTTAGTGAAAACGGCCTGGGACCGACACCGACGGACCTGGATCCGCAAAAATAACGGCCGCGACGCCCTCTCGCGAACCGAAAACGGCCAATTTGCTAATCGACGTGTCTGGGTAGGAGGTCTGTCCACCCCCGACGAATACAGATATACAGTTATATATAGATGTATAGATATATAACTATATAAACCTCGACGCACCAACAACCTCGACCCTCGCCCCCCGCCCTGTCACGCCCGATATCGCGACGGGGTGCAAAAACAGTGTCCTCCTCCTCCCGTCCCTCTGCCGGGGATCTACGAAGCCGGGCCAATCCCAAACCAGGTCTATCGGGCTCTGGCGGGCCCTGCAAGATCCTGCAGGATCCGGCGCCCTAGCCCGGGTCAGTGCAGACATCTGGCTCTGCAAGATCGTGCAAGGTCTGGCGCTCTGACTGACTCCCTTTGCCTTGACCCCCGCCCCTTGAACGCCGACTCTGACCCCCCCCCTGGCACCGGCGGCAGGAACGCCAGCGCGGTGCCCTCCTGGGGGTCGGCCACCACCGCGGCGTCCACCCGGCTCGCCGCCAGCGGCCACGCCAGCTGGGGTGATCGCTCCACTCCCCGCCCCCCCGGGATAAACAGAAATGGTCTCCTCGCCTCCTCCTCCTTCTCTTCCTCCCGGTAAGACGAAGCCAAGACGAGGCGAACATCGGGTAGTGATAAATCGAGAATCTCTGAGATCCACCGGTTCTGGAGAATGTCTCGGGCGCCGCGGCCTTCTTATCAGAGAGTTCCGGGACGCTCTGAGAGCGTTCCGGGACGCTCCGGAAAGGATTCGTCCTCGTCCCAGTGCCGTCCGACCTGGGCTGCTGAGCCGACTGTGTCATGACGACTCCTGGCGAGGGGTTCGTCGAACGGAATCGTGGCAGCAGCCACGAGCGCCCTCGCCGACCAGCCCACGCGCCCCTCGGGACGCACGGCACCCTGCTTGCGACTCGTTCCCAGACGGCGTCGGCGCGAGTCTCGACGTGACCGACCCCCGCCCACCCCTCCCCGCCCCCGGGGGACAGAGCAGGGCCTCCCTCCCCGGGGGGACCCGTGGCCCTCGGATCGCGGGATCGCAGCGACGCAAGGGCCTCTGGCAGTCGGTGCCCCCTTCCCCCGGGGAGGGGCCCCCCTGGCGGGCCGCGGGGGCCCGCAACAAAGCCGGAGGTCTGGGGCGGAGGGCAATGAGGTTCGCTTGCACAGCCGTATTGAAGGATAGTGCGGCGATCGCTGCTGAGAGCGAGCATCTTGCTACACTCTCAGCCTGCTTGAACGGCAGTGCGGCGATGCCTCCTGCAAGCGAGCATCTTGCCATGCAGTCGGACATGCAGTCGGATCACCATCGATGTGCCCTGGGGCGTCCGCGAGCGTTTTTGAAGGGTAGTGCGGCGATCCATGCTGCAAGCGAGCATATTGCCATGCAATCAGATCAATATCAATCTGCCCCGGGGCGCCCAAGACAAGGGGCGTCGTGGAACAAAAGGCATAGCAACGGCTTGCCGCCTTTCGCCTGCACGGGTCGGTTCAGCCAAGAGCACTCGGCACGAAGGTGGGGGGCCAAGATCTCTGGCCGTGAGGTGTCACGGCTGATTGTCTCGTGTCATGGCGTCGTACGACTGCCGACGCAGGAGGGAAGCTGAACAAGGAGCGAAGAAAGGAATGTCGGAAGGATGAGACAGGGAGGGAGAGGGGAGAAGGAGCAGAAGGGCGTGCGGAGGGAGGAGACGGGGAAGGAGGGCAGGACGGTTGAGGAATACATTGAGGTCGGAAGAGGAAGTGAGGAGAAGAGGACAGACAATCATTGCCAAGAGGAAGAAGAAACCATCTCGGAGAAGCAGTTCCCACCCGTCAGCCCGGGCAGCCTTGCGAGTGCCAGGACACACCCTTGCCTCAAAGTCAACTCCTTCCTTGTCCACATCGCCCAAATCCTCGTCCTCCTCCTCCCCCTCTTATCTGTTGCCGTCGCGCGATCCTGGGGGTGCGTCCGCGCCAGATCACGACTCGACTCGTCCTCCCCATTCACCTCCTCTGACCCGTCCTCGACTTGCTCCTGATGCTGGTCCTCCTCGTCTCCCTCCTCTCCATCCTACAGTCGGCCCGTATCACAAGGATGCGCGGTAAGGATGCAAGGGCATTGGACTCCCATTTCGAAACGTTTCGAGCGGGGCGAGGCCAACGAAAGTAGCCAAGGTTGGACCCAGGAGGCAAGGATGCAAAACAACCCTTGGGAACATTGCCCATCTTTCTTATGCAGGCTGACTGTACGCATCCTGCGCAATGTCATAATTAATAAACCATGGTACAATGACGAAGAGCGGAAACAACCATTCAAAAAGATTCAGCACCGTGCCTCTGGCACGAAGTGGAGTGCCCCAAGGCCCATGCAGCACCGAGAGGGTTGTGCTGCTGCAGCACACATCAAAGTCTGTAATGAGAGCCCCGACCACTCGTTTCCCGGGCCGGACCAGGATCTGCCGGAATCGCTCGCGTCGGCCTATCCCGCCCAGGAGGGCCCCAAAACGAGCCCAGATGGCTTCAAGAGGCTCCCAAAATGGTCAAAGAGGGCCCAAGTCGCCCCAAGATCGCTCCAAAACGCGCGAGATTGCCTCCAGACGGCCCGACAAGCCCCCAAAACTGTCTACCTAAGCCCCAAGAGCACCCCCAAGAAGGCGCGAAGAAGCAAAACATCGTCCCAGCCCTTCTGGGAGCTTATACTGCTGGCAACTTTACTTGTTGGGCTCCGAGAGCGTCCGCAACGTCACATGAGGCACACAAGATTGTCCCAAAACGGCCCGAGAGGCCCCCAAAGTGCGCGCCATGGCGGCCCAAGAAGGCCCCAAAACGGCCCAAGAGGCGCCCAAGATCGCCCAAGACGGCCCCCAAGAGGGCCCACAAAAGGGACGCGAACCCGAAATCCGAGCCTTCCTCCCCGAGAGGCCCCGCGGAGGCCCCAAGGGGCGCCCAAGAGGCCCCCAGGAGGGAGGGTCTCAAAAAAAAAAAAGATCTTAAGAAAAAGTAGCAACATAGAGAAGATCGGATCTTAACAAAAAAAATAAAAGATTGTTAACGGATTGTTAAAAAATTGGAGATTGTAAAAAAAAGCGGGGGGCCTCGGGCGACCTCCGGGTTGTAAAAAAAAATGTAAAAACAAATAACGGATTGTAAAAAAATAGCGCCGTGGAAGGTGGGGGCAGAGCGGGGGATCGCCGGCGACTTCCGGGGGGGGAGAAAAAAAAAACACGGATTGTTAAACAAATAGCGGGGGTGTGAAGAAAAAATGACGCAACGACCTCCGGGCTGCGAACACAATAAGCCATCGTCGTCGTGGTTGAGGTCGTCGTCGTCGCCCTTGTCGTCGTCGTCGTCGTCGTCGTAGCCGTAGTCGTCGCCGTCGTCGTCGTCGCAGTCGCCGTCGCCGTCGCCGTCGTCGTCGTCGGCCTCGTCGTCGTCGTCGCCGTCGTCGTCGACGCCGTTGTGGCCGTCGTCGTCGGCCTCGTCGTCGGCCTCGTCGTCGTCGTCGTCGCCGCCCGCCGTCGCCGTCGCCGTCGCCGTCGTCGTCGTCGGCCTCGTCGTCGTCGTCGCTAGGGTTTAGAGTTTAGGGGTTAGGGTCCACTAGCCCAAACTTGCAGCCCACTTGACCGTGTCCCACCCACCCATGACCCAAGACATATTGATCTCGATGCGGTATCAACACGCGACTCGCAAAACGACGACGAGGACGACACTGATGACGACGACGTTGATATTGTTTTCAAAACGACGACGGCGCGGCCGCGCAAAGACACCGGGGACGCGGCTGCAACGGCGATGCGGCCCGCGCGCGTGACGACGCGATTTGAAGAACCACGTTTTTTGACGCGAGTCCCTGTGCGATGCAGGGACGCCGCCCAGCGGCGGAGAGGTTGCACGCAAGATCCACGCTTATTGACGCGAGTCCCTGTGCGACGCAGGGCCCCCCGCGGTCGCCGTGGGCGCACCGCGTAGCTGGCCCGCGGCCGCCTGCGCCGCCGAAGGGTCGGCGCGCCACCCCGCGTCCGCCGGGCCGCCCTCCCGCGAGCTCGCAGAGGGGGGGGCGCAGCGCCCGCGGCCGCCTCGCCCGCCGCGGGGGCGCCCGGCGCCATTCCTGGCGCTCCGGGGCCAAGGATCTGCGTGAGGGGCGCACCCTGGGATTTGCAGATCCTCCCAGAACGCCATTCCTGGCGCTCCGAGGGCAAGGATCTGCGTGAGGGGTGCGCCAAAATGGGGGGGGCGGCCGAAGGAGGGACTTAAGGGCTCTTAGGATTAGAATCTTCATAGGCTCTTAGATTTTAGGGTTTACGGGTTAGGGGTCCACTAGCCCAAACTTGCAGCCCACTTGACCGTGTCCCACCCACCCATGACCCAATACATATTGATCTCGATGCGCGAGGAATAGTTCGTTGCTCGGCGAGCGCGCTCCCCGCGACGCGGCGCGCGAAGGCCGCGTCGACGAGGCGCAGCTGCGCCTTCCTCCGGGAGCTTCTTGGCGAGAGGCTCCCGGGGGAGGAGGGCTACTGGGCGGCCGTGGTCGCCCCGCCGCGCTGGCTCCGTGGCGCTTGAGCGCGCCGCGGAGTGACCGCGCGACGGGGCGGCCATATCCGCTCGGAAACCCAGGGGGCCATGTCCAGCCTCCACGGGGCGGCCCCTGGGGAAGGGCACGGGGGCGGCTCTCAACCCGAAAGGGTCGAGGTCGCGCCCGTACCTTTCGCGAAGGACAATACTGACGCCATGCCTGGCACACCGAGGCCATGAACGTCTGCCACGAGTCTGGGCGAGGGGAGTACCCTGCACTTTCGCAGGCTCTCCCAGAACGCCACTCCCGGTACTCCGGGAGTTTGCAGATCCTCCCAGAACGCTATTCCTGGCGCTCCGAGCGCAAGGATCTGCGTGAGGGGTGCGTCCTGGGATTTTGTCAGGCCAGAACGCCATTCCTGGCGCTCCGAGGCCAAGGATCTGTGGGGCGCACCCTGGGATTTGCAGATCCTCCCAGAACGCCATTCCTGGCGCTCCGAAGGCAAGGATCTGCGCGAGGGGTGCGCCAAAATGGGGGCGGCCGAAGGAAGGACTTTAGGGCGGCGGAAGGGATTTTAACATTTAAATCTTTATAGGCTCTTAGTTTTTAGGGTTTAGGGTTTAGGGTCCACTAGCCCAAACTTGCAGCCCACTTGACCGTGTCCCACCAACCCATGACACAATACATATTGATCTCGATGCGGTATCAACACGCGACTCGCAAAACGACGACGAGGACGACACCGATGACGACGACGTTGATATTGTTTTCAAAACGACGACGACGCGGCCGCGCAAAGACACCTGGGACGCGGCTGCAACGGCGATGCGGCCCGCGCGCGTGACGACGCGATTTGAAGAACCACGTTTTTTGACGCGAGTCCCTGTGCGATGCAGGGACGCCGCCCAGCGGCGGAGAGGTTGCACGCAAGATCCACGCTTATTGACGCGAGTCCCTGTGCGACGCAGGGCCCCCCGCGGTCGCCGTGGGCGCACCGCCCAGCTGGCCCGCGGCCGCCTGCGCC